AATTGATAGAACACAACAAATATGAGCAATAAATGAGATAACGAGACTAAGAGAATGTGTTAGAGAGAAGAGAGAATGTTCTAGTATATTTAGTATGGAGCAACAAATGTTTTCAAAATGTCCAGGATCCCTTTTATATAAGAGAGAAAATCCCAACATAGTACAAGTGCATTTATTATAAAGCTATAGAGATGGGACAGCTAGTTGATGCCACGATACGGGCTCGGACTAGCCTGACAGACTTTGTTGTCTCTAGTTTCATGCCTTGGGAATTCCCCGCTTTCTTTCCATAACCATCAATCTCATACTGCCCCGAGGTCTAGCGTTGATGGTCCTCGAAGTATGAAACTCGACCGTGATTTCGAGCATTCGAGACGTTATAACGATGGAAAATTGGACTCTCCGATTTTACCGTATACATGAAGGCTAAGAAGATCAAGCTTTAGAGACCTCAGTTGTGTTTGAATGACTAATTTTTAACTTAGGAAATGAAATTATGTTTTTGTGATGACTATAACTTATTATGTTTGTTTTGTGGTGAATCGGTTGTGGAAGTTGTTGTATTGATTTACCCCAAAAATCGTTTGTTGGGATTATATTAGGGTGAAGTACATTGTGACAATTGGTTGTTAAGTATCTTTGTTGGCTACATACAACAATGCCTTGTTATCTATTGATGATCTTATTATCTATTGATTGTGGAAGTTGTTGTATTGATGTTGTTTGTTTTTGAATGTGCATAACATGGTGTTGGTTCTTGTAGAAGTACATTAGATTTCAATGAGCATAACATATCAATGAAAATAGAAATGAAAATTGGAAATTCGTTTAAAACGGAAATATGGAACTGCAGTATGAAGATAATTGCAAATTCAACTACTAGCACTAAAACATACAGACATTAACCTAACTAAAACCTGCAAATTCCCTTCATTTAACAATTATGCCAACAATTTGCTAATTTTGTAAGCCATAACATCATAACCCTTACCAAGTAAAACGAACATCTCTACATCATCCTGCAAGTCACAAAGATAAACAATCTGCAGATTTTGTAAGCCATAAGGATTAGTAGATTTCTATGGTCACCACATTTGGTCACTACTAACCAAAACAGAACTTCTTTACATCATTTTGTAAGCCACAAATATAACAAAAATAGACCATGATTATATTATAAACTTTTTCCATTGGTTCAAATTCAACACCAAATTTGAAACTTTCTCCTCCAATGCAGATATATTATTCCAATTTTCAACTTTAATACCAACCATATCATTGACCATCTTCCTAAATTTATTAATTTTTTGACGAAGAGCATCCATTGTAATTTTTTGCTTGTGGATAAATATTGATACATGAGGTGGAAGTTTTTTATCGCGCCATTCCCAATAATGACAACCATTACTCTTGTAACGAGGATATTTATAGAATCTACGACTACCATTCGCAGGTATCGTAGCAGTAAAATAATTAGCTATCACTCCGCAATAACAAGCAAGAGTGTCACCTGGTTCATGAGAAGAAGTAGAAGAAGATTCTGCCATTTGAAGCTTAAAAAGAAACGAAGCCAAATTTATCAAAGATTTCGAGTTAAAAGATGGGAGATGAGAGATGAGAGAGGAGAGAAATTATTGTAATTTGGTGATGAATTGGGTGGAAAATAACCCAACAATCGGGTGTTTTGGGGGTAAGATAATGTTTAGCGGGTCGGGTTGATCTGGATGGGTTATGGGTGGGGGTAAAATCTGGATTGAGGTTTTTCTTATTTAAAGGCCAGTCAGAAATAGCTACGTGGAAATAATAAAATATTAAATTAAATCATAAGTCACTCATTAGAACTAAGGGCACAATTATATCAAATTTTTAACGGTAGGATCATTCTTTGCAAAATAAGTTAACGAGGGGTATTTTTAGACTGGAGTTGATATGTTAGGTGCAAGTCTCGCCCTTTTCCGTTTTAATAATAATTGTTTCATCTGGCAGGGATGTGCAATTGTTTCTTACTCTAGGTGTCATTTAGAGCGCCAGAAACAAATGTTGCTTTGCTAAGTGAACAAGAGATCACAAATAAAGCTCTACCAGTGGTAGATCATAAAGATTAACACTGATGCTTCTTGGAGGAGGATGTAGAACTAGACTGAATTTAATACTGAGTTCAATTTTGAATTTTCGTAAAATATGAGTCCATTAATTTAAAATTTATACTACTACTTTTTAAGATATAGGGGATGAACCAATTTCATCAAAAAATTTACATCGTGTTATCAGATTAAATTTTTTTTTAATGTTACTATGTTAGATGTTGAATCTTCTTATTTTTTTGGTGTGTTTATTTCTTTCTTGATTTTTTTAAATTCCCTTGATAAAAATTATGACACCGGTCATGGTTGTAAAAATAATGAATCCAATTGAATTCACTCTTAACACTTCAAGTCTGCCTCTACCTAAATATACCCCTTTAAATTCAAATATTGTTTACCTGTACCCCTTGTTATACTATTGGGCTATCCATACCCCTACCATCATATTATTGGGTTATCTATACCCCTATTGTCATACTTTGAAACAAATATACCCCTATTTTGGATGGAGTGACACGTGACAACACCAGATTAAAACGACCCATTTTTTTTACCAGACCCGTTTTAAAAAAAAACCCCACAACCCGACCCCTATTTTCATTTTTTTATAGTTTTTTTCAAAATTTCAGTTTTTAAAAAACAAAAATATTTTGTTAAAAAACAAAAAATATTTTTTTTCTGTTTTTACAAATTTATTTTTCCAGTTTTTACAAAACAAAATTCTTTTAAAAAACTGAAAAATTGAAAAAAAATATTTTTCAAAAACGAAAATATTTTGTTGAAAATAATTTTTTCAGTTTTTTAAAAAAGAAAATATTTTGTTAAAAAAGGAAAATATTTTTTTCTGTTTTTACAAAAAAAATTAAGTTTATACAAATTTGTTTTTTCAGTTTTTACAAAAAGAAAATCTTTAAAAACTAAAAAAATGAAAAAAAAATACATTTTTCAAAAACGAAAATATTTTGTTGGAAATATGTTTTTCAGTTTTTAAAAAACGAAAATATTCTGTTAAAAACTGAAAAATAAAATTTCTAGTTTTTACAATTTTTTTCAGTTTTTACAAATATGTTTTTACAGTTTTTACAAAAAAAAAATTGTTAAAAAAACGATTTTTTTCAGTTTTTACAATTTGTTTTGCAAAATCGTTTCAGTATCTACTCAGTTTAAAAAAACGAAAATATTTTGCTTTTTTTTTTTTAAGTTTTACAAAAAGAAAATTCTTTAAAAAAACTGAATAATTAAAATATGGTTCGGGTTGTGGGTTTTTTGTAAAATGGGTTGGGTAAAAAAAAGAAATGGGTCATTTTAATCTGGTGCTGCCAAGTTGCACTCCATCCAAAATAGGGATATTTTTGTTCCAAAGTACGAATGTAGGAGTATGGATAGCCCAATAATATAACGAAGGGTACAAATAAACAATATTTGAAATCGTTTCAGTATCTACTCAGTTTAAAAAAACGAAAATATTTTGCTTTTTTTTAAGTTTTACAAAAAGAAAATTCTTTAACAAAACTGAAAAATTAAAATATGGTTCGGGTTGTGGATTTTTTGTAAAATGGGTTGGGTAAAAAAAAGAAATGGGTCATTTTAATCTGGTGCTGCCAAGTTGCACTCCATCCAAAATAGGGATATTTTTGTTCCAAAGTATGACGGTAAAAGTATGAATAGTCCAATAATATAACGAAGGGTACAAATAAATAATATTTGAAAGTAGAGGAGTATATTTAGCCCTTTGCCGCTACCTAAATGAAACAAGTGGGAAAGTGTTGCAAGTGTAGCTGCTGCGAGTTTCGAACATAAAATGAGTCAAGATTGGATAAGTGTTGGCAGCAAGTACGGCTCCATCTATAGAAAGAGGACACCAGGCCCTCTGCTCTAGGAAGAGGACACCAGGCCCTCCGCTAGTACGTCGTGATGGAAGACATATTTTGTCATACAAATTTCATTGAGAATTAGCTTTACTCATATACGTCGTGATGGAAGACATATTTTGTCATACAAATTTCATTGAGAATTAGCTTTACTCATATATATCGTAAAACATATATATGATATATATGGTAAAGCTTTACTCATATATATCATTGAGAATTAGCTTTACTCATATACGTCGTGATGGAAGACATATTTTGTCATACAAATTTCATTGAGAAAGCTAATTTCATTGAGAATTAGCTTTACCAGGCCCTCCTCTAGTACGTCGTGATGGAAGACATATTTTGTCATACAAATTTCATTGAGAATTAGCTTTACTCATATATATCGTGAACCTCGTGAAAGATATTGGATGGAATCAACTGCATTAATATGTTTCGTTAGGAGACAGTACTATGGAGTATGTAAGCCAATTGTCTTTTCATGTTGTCATGGAATCATCCCATTAATCAAGTGGCAACAATTTGAACAGTTGTGTCATGATTTCGCGGTTAGTAGTATATAACTGCAATAATTTAGTTTGATATTTCTTACTCTCTTGTTTATAAGGTACACTCTATCATCAGTTAATTGGGATAGTATATATGAATATTATGTCACCCCATCTAGCCACCTAGACCTGCTTCATTTCAGTATTCAATAATGTGGAGTTCATTAACTAAATATTTTCCGCATTTTCTACTATATATATAAACTCTATGAAGATTAAAAGACCATGAAAAGACATTGAACTAATGTAATTGTACCAACATATTGAGCTTTAATCTCAAATAGCTAGTATGAACTATATAGATCTTTTATTTTCAATATCCAAATATATGTTCAATTTTTAGGAGGTGGCATACATGGATTCAGGGACGGTTCAATAGCGTTCGAGGCGCATATATATATATATATATATACTAGATGGGAATGCCCGTGCTTTGCACGGGCCTAAGAGCACAGGCCCAACATAATGGAAGCCTTAGGCATATTCACAAATTACTCGCAAACTTCAAGACATTTCATATCCTTGCACCTCTGTGAACAACTTAAATATATCAAATAAAAGAAACAGCCGCTCTATCCTTTCGGGTAGAGATAAAGTCTCCGTACATTCTACCCTCCCCTGACCCCATTAGTGGAATTCTATTGCGTTGTTGTTGTTGTATAAAAGAAAAGACAAATAAATGTTTAGCTAGGTTTATAAAACTCCAAGAACAAATCGTTTTTTCCAGACTGCATCATTCTCTTGATTGGAATCCAAGCAGTGGCTATTGTATCACTTCTATCACTTCTGATATCAGCTTCCATGATCTTCTTGGGCTTCCTACCTTGGATATTAGGCCTGAAACTTCAGTCCAACAAATAACTTTATTTTGTCTTTCTCAACCAAATTAAGCTGTTGCTGGATGAATCAATGTGTCACTTCCCAGATTATAGGAAGATGTTAATGACATCCGAGTCCATAAAATACAGTTGTGTAGATAAAATGAAACCACCTATAAAGGATAAAAAAATAATTCAGCATGTAATTACAATGGACCACTTTAAGAAGAAAAATGCAAAACCATCTAAATGTTTTTTGAATGCAAAAAATCACAAAAATGACCCCAATTCTAGATGAGTTACACTCAACTATAAATCCTATTTATTCTTTAGCAAAGAAAATCTTTCTCTACTCCAAAGTAATACTTTTTTTGCCTCTTAGAGCTAATGCTGCAAGTGGAATTTAATATCGATAATTGAATTAGCTGTAAAATCATACTGTGATGTAACAAAATATGCCTTTTGCTATTTGATTTGTCCAAGGAATGTTGTTATTCTCTAATTCTTAATCATGCGCGTAATGCTTAAAATTAAAGATTGAATGTTGATAGTACGTATCCATAAGCAGCATTTTCAAATTATAAATAAAGTAGTACAATGCACATAAAATAAAATAAAAAAACTCCGTAAAAGGTCAGATGAGTCACTTTTCACTCCCGTCAAGTAGATAGAATAGTCTAATTTCTCTTCACCATTAATCATAGCACAACAATGCCGAGTTTTTACTAAATAGTTTGTGAATCTGCATCTTAAGATGTAAATCTCCTACAGCTTATATTAGCAATTCATCAATTAGTAGTTTAGTACTGCCTCTTTTTGTAGTTTACTTTCATAATAGAAGTCACTAACTAGTGCGCTCGAAATATAATAACATATTAGCTAGATTTATTCTGATAAAGTTCTTTCCTTAAGCTATAAGGCTGTTTCGAGAAGCTATTTTCTTAGCAACAGAATACCAAATATGTCTGAACTATGAATAAGCCTAAGAAGTTTAATCTCGGGAAGGATACGGTGGACATGCAGATAATTTTTTTAAAATGCCATTCATCTACCAGCAATTCCTCTTCTCACATTGGGGTCAATATTTTGTGCGTGATCTTCTGCACGAGCCTCGCCACTAACTTTGAGCAATACCCTATACAATTTATATGATGGTTTAGGTGTTTCACTATATATATGACACCAACTGAATCCATGGATGATACCTAATAATGCCTGAAACAAATTAAAAAAGAAATTGATTAACACAAATCCATATACTCAAGGGCGGATCCAGAATTTTCAAATCGTGGGTGCTCAATTATTTTTAATCTGAAAAATTGCTACTGATAATGAGTGCTCGGTTAATATATTTATATGAATTTACTAGTTTTTTATATAAGTAATAGTATTTGGCTCTAAAAGTAATGGGTGCTCAAGCACCCATAACTCAAAGAGTAGATCCGCCACTGCATATACTAAAGCTGAGCATAAGCATTCAGGAGGTCTCTTTTGTCCAAGGGCTAACAATAGATATTATCAGGTTGAAGGAATATATGTATGATACCAACTTGAAACTTGGCTGCACGTACAAAGTAGGAAGATAATTACACTTAAATAAGTACAATGTCATACTTAAGATTTAATAGCAGATAGAACTAAACACCGCAATTTAAATAATGTCTGACTGACACTAAAATACAGTAGCTATGCATAAGAGATCCTTGGTATAGTTAATAAAAGTATTCAACTAAATATGCCACACTATATTTGCTGTATGATTAACATTATATTTACCTTTGGAAAAGGAAAGAAGAAAGTCGGGCAAATATTTGGAATATTCAAATAAATGCAAAATAATTGAGATCTTCCTTATCATGGGAAGAAGATTACATTTTTCTGTTTCTACATTCTTTTTTTTTCTTTCATATCCACTAAAACGATTTAAGAGTTTCTCGGACTAAAAATTCAAAATCGAATATTCATCTATATAACTTATCCTTAGATACTATTAGATGTTTTAGGACCAGAGGCTCAATTTATGCTGGAATAGGCTTCAGCCCAGAAGACAACACCTAACAAGCAAGCCTTTGCAATTTAAATAAGTGAGTTAAGAGGTCTACTTATCCTTTCACTTGAGCACTTTAAGAACAACACCATCAATTTATCAAGTATATTTATCAGCTCCAAGAGGTATTAACAATAAATTGAGATAATTTTAATTTACTATGATTCAATCAAGGACAACATAAACTATACCAATTAAAATCAACACCTAAAAGATGTCACCTGAAGCCGTCACCTGCTGGATAGCCTATGATCTCTGGGAAATTCTTAAAGTTTCTCATATAAAGGTGCACAAAAAATATTTTATCTAAAATATGGAGCTTTTGCCATTTTCCCTTGAAGCCATCACCTGCTGGATAACCTTTGATCTCTAGGAAATTCTTAAAGTTTCTCATATAAAGGCGCACAAAAAATATTTTATCTAAAATATGGACCTTTTGCCATTTTCCCTTGGAAATATCTTAGTGGAAGTCGGGAAGAGTTTAACAAAATTCAAAATGTTTTATAGAACTTTAAATAGTTTACATGTAATAGATGCAATAATCTAACAATTAGAGCTTTTATTAGATGCAGAAGCTGTGATAACTGTGCGACTTACTCTCCATAGTTGGACTCATCATATACTCCTTAGGCTATTTAAACTCAAAACTTCTTTTACATCCTTTTCACCCCTATTCTGCATTACCTATATATAAATATACACTAGTAAGTGAGGTTCCATAAATCCGTAGCCAGAAAAATTCAGCAATTTAATTAACTAAATAACATAGCAAAGCAAAGCAAAAAAGAAGAACATATAAAATTCATGAGAGAAATTCAATAATAATTGCAAACCGGTTGGAGAAAAACTATTATACTATGTTGACTTTAACATAAAGCACATTGTAAGTATGAGTACAATGAAACTTCCACTCTGGTGGTGAATTTATTTTCACTGGTGCAACTATTTTCTAGCTTGTAGTTGTATATATTTTAAATATTATTTTCACTCCACTCCTCTTCTGTATCGCTTACTCTCCATTGTTTACTTTTTGTGATTATCAACAAAGTTTGTGTTTCATTTGGTCTGTTCAACCAATTATAGGAAAAATGACTTGGCAAGTGATATCTTTTAGTAAAATATTTTCTAAAAGAATACTTTACTCACATAGTCGCTCGCTCGTGCCATGCTGATATAGGTGTGTGTGTGCGCGTACATATAGGAATATAACAATTAAAAAGATATACAAAACCCACAATATAAGTCTAATATTAGTCCATACCTAATTAATTTTCATCTATCAAGTCAACACCACCTTGGCAACAGTTGTTTATGTCATTTTCTTCGATTGCCTCCCCTACCCCTTTTTTCCGATTATGACCAGTTTTTTTTCTGCTACTCTAGAAACTCCTTCGAGTTCATACTTTCTCTCCCTATAAGCATGCAAACAATCTGATTCGCATCTTGATAAAAAAAAATGCATAGGTAAGAAACTAAATCTAAATTGAGTAAGAAAATTATAAAATAAAGCCGAGAATATAAAATAAAAAACAATGAAATTACATAGAGGGAATACAATGACAAATCTCAGAGAAGCTTACCAATCAACAAAATGGGAATTCAAAGTGCCATCAGTAGTAGAAATCAAGTTGTACTAATCTAATTAGTGCCAATTGATATGTAAAAAGCTTGATTGATTGCAGAGAAGAGGTCAACCGAATTGTTGAAACTATCTTCCTTTCATTGGAGAATTTCATCAAATACATTGAAACTTCATCAAACACATTGGTTGCATTAAAGCCCTTCCCTTGGTAGTTTATTTTTCTCCGAGTGGCAATTTCCTATAGCCGCTGTGGGAGCAGTCATGCTACTAAAGCTGAAAATTTTTAAAGAGGCATTTTTAAAAATAACCACATGTATGACAGAATCCATAAAGGAAAAACGGGGAAAGAGGGAAAATTTAATATCAAAATTAGACACACTTAACTAAAAACAATAAAGCATAAAATATAAAATCAGAGGCAAAATGAAAATTGTAAATCACATAATTTAGATTCTAAATCAATTATCTTTAAACAAAAGAGAATCAAAGCCACATACAAACCGGAAAATAGAGAAATTTTGAAAAGAATATCAAAGCCAAGGACAAACGCAGCTGGAGCAGAAAAGAAAAAAAAAAGGAAGATCAATGATTAAAAGAGAAAATAGTTTTGTAGCTGAAAATTTTGACTATGAGGAGACCAAATTTTCAATTGAAGACATCAAGTGGAATTTCAATTTGACCCAACCTTCCAGTTCTTTATCTTGGAAGAATCTTGATGAACTGATGAAAATATCTATGATGGACACGTAGAGTACACGTGTTTCTATAGAAATTGAGTTCAAAAGAGAGCAGATACAATTATCAATTTAAAAGTGTATACACACAATTAATGCAGGATGTACAATTGAAAATAGCTGTGTTCGTCCTTCCCTTCACATTTATATATANAAAAGAACTTGGTTAGATAAACTACAAAAACTTAAATGAATTTACCGTTGATTGTATCACAATTGAAATGAGAGAACATTACGTGATACTCTTTTTTCAGTTAATATCCCAAAAAGAATTATACCTTTTTAAAAAAAAATTGTTGTCATGTGACCATGAGGTTATAAGTTCGAGCTGTGAAAACAGCTGTCACACTTCCTTTTTCCTACACCCGAAAGGGTATAAGGGAGTTTTTTTCAATTTAAGTGACAATCGAAACGGGATTATTTATATTAAAATTTAGAGTCGCCACTTGAGATAATTTATGGTGTCCCAAGTCACCAGTTTTAAATCCCAAATCGAGGAAAGTTGACTCTTATTTATGGCCCGCGAACACAGAAATTCGGGTAAGGAATTCTGTTAATCCGGGAGAAGGTGTTAGGCATTCCTAGATTCCGTGGTTTTAGCACGGTCACTTAAACTATTAAAATTGGCCTAGTATCCGATTTATTACATGTTTTAGCCTATGATGCATCTTTAACTTGTTAACCGTTTTTAATCATTTTTAGAAGATTCAACGTTATTTAAAATATGCCTTGAACCACGCCACATGAAATGCACCCGCGATTCACGACACGTTCTATTTAACATTGTTAAAAATTGAAATTGGGTCACATGAAATGCACACTCGAATTTAATAAATAAAAGAAAATCAATTAAATAGGACACCTAAAGCAACTACGAAATTTCAAATTAATAACAAGGTTTGCGAGGGCCATGGAAAGTTCAATTGATGGCACACCTCGATTTCTAAAGAGTTAAAATTAATTAAGTGAGGGCCGTAAGTTTTGGAATTTTATTCAACAGGGCACACCTCAGTCTAATTTAAAAGAGTCTAACTAAATGAAGAAGGCTTAAAGGAAATTGAATTTATTTTAGCCAAATTGTTCAAGCTAACCTAGTAATTAAATGGCTGGTATTAACAGAAATCCGATGTTAGTTTATTTGGAAGGGTCTAAACTGGTGGCAGGCCCAATTGCTATTTGAAAACTCCTGGATTGGAATACAAGGATCGGCTGGGCTAAGCGTGAAGCCCCGCATTGAAAAAACCTTCTCCATTTAAACAAGCAAAGAAAATCATATATATCAACAACCTATCGCATATGGTGAGGTTCAGAATTGGGTCAAGGGCGATATGTGATGACCCAAAAGGATATCACTTGCTTTTAAATTGAATTTTGTGTTCCGAAACCTTGAAAACCTCATTTAACATCACCTCGAATTACGTGCACAGTCCGGACGCGTAGCCGGAAAGCCTAAATATGAAAATCTAGGAAAATGATAAGTTTTGACTATAAAATGAGTTAATTTGACTTCGGTCAATATTTTGGGTAAACGGACCCGGACAAGTGATGTGACGGTCCCGAAGAGTCCGCAGAAAAATATGGGACTTGGGCGTATGTCCGGAATCGAATTCCGAGGTCCCAAGCCCGAGAAATAAATTTTTAAAGAAAATTATTTTCTGAAATTGTTTAAAGGAATTTGAAATGGATTTAGATTAGAACATGTAGGTATCGGGCCCGTATTGTGGTTCCGGTATCCGGTACAGGTCTTATATGTGATTTAAGATAACTCTGTGAAGTTTGGTAAGAAATGGATGTCATTTGACATGATTCAGACCTAAATTGCAAAATTTGATGTTTTAAGACGTTTGAAATATTTCATTGATTTTGATGTTTAATTCGATGTTAATGATGTTAATTTGGCGATTTGATCGCACGGATAAGTTCGTATGATGTTGTTGAGTTAGTACGTATGTTTTGTTAGGAGCCCCGAGGGCTCGGGTGTGTTTCAGAAGGTTTTGGACTTATGAAAAGTTGCAGGTTTTTGCTGTTTAGTGCCCAGGGATTTTGTTCTTCGCGTTCGCGTGGGTCCACTCGCAAACGCGTAAGGCAAATTTCCTAGGAGCCAAACTTCTTCTTCGCGAATGCGAAGCTGGAGTCGCGAACACGAGGCTAAGGAGGGATACCCTTTGCGAACGCGACACAGCTCACGCGAATGCGATGGCTAGTGAGCCTGGGCAGGGGGAGGGGCATTTTACCTATGCGAACGCGACCCATTGGACGCGAACGCGAGGCTCGAGGAGTTTCTTCTACAAACGTGAGCCGACTTCTGCGAACGCTAACGCCTATCAGGCCTAACCCATCGCGAACACGTTGAGTTTATCGCGAACGTGATGAGTAATTTCGCCCAGTTATTTTAAAAGACCAGAACAGTAGCCATTACGGGAGTTTCACCAAAACTCATAACTTCTTCATCTTAACTCCAAATTGGGCGATTTGTGAAATGGGATTCCACCACCAATACATAAGTATGTAATCTTAGACTCATTTTTCTTCAATTTCCATTAATACCCATTTGATTTCTAGGCTTAAATAATGTAATTAAGGGTAAAAAATTAGGAATTTGGGTAGGATTAGGGCTTTTTGATTATCTGTGATTTAGACTTCGTTTTGGGATCAGAGTTGAAAACAAATTATATATTTGGGCTCGTGGGTGAATGGGTGATCGGGTTTTGGTCCGAACCTCGTGTTTTGACTAAGCGGGCCTGGGGTCAATTTTTGACTTTTTGGGAAGAATGATTAGAAAGCTATAATTAAGCATTGGAATTGGATTGTGTAGCGTTTATTGATGTTATGAAGTCGATTATGTATAGATACAATCGATTTGGAGCCGAATTCGTAAGGAAATGCGGTGTTTGAGACTTGAGTTGGCCGTAGAAGTTCGAGGTAAGTGTTCGGTCTAACCTTAGCTTGATGGATTAAGAGTTGTGTCCTATTTGCTATTTGCTTCTTGTTGAGTACGACGTATAGGCATGGTGACAAGATAAATTCAGAAGACTCAGAAAGAAGGGGGTTTCGTAGCAGTTGTATATATTCATAATTCAAATAATATTAAAGTGGTAAAAAGCAACATTTAGCATATTAGCATATAAACAGTTGAAAATCATATAGTAAATAAAGCCAATTAACACAGATATTTTAAGCTCGAATTCTTTAAACCCTGAACCAATGGTTCTGGGTTACAGTTTACACTTTTGTCCCCAGCAGAGTCGCCAGAGCTGTCGCACCTCCTTTTTACCGCGCCCGCGGGGCGCGTGGGGGAGTTTTCTCCAATTGAAGGACAGTCGAAACGGGATTTATTTAATTATTTCAGAGTCGCCACCTGGGAATTTTAAGGCGTCCCAAGTCACCAATTTTAATCCCTGAATCGAGGAGAATATGACTCTGTTTATTATTCTGCGAACCAAAAATCCTGAGTAAGGAATTCTGTTAATCCGGAAGAAGGTGTTAGGCATTTCCGAATTCCGTGGTTCTAGCACGGTCGCTTAACTGTTTTTATTATTGGCTTAATTATCTTGATTTTACTAAATACGTTTTTATTGCATGATTTTACTACCGGTTTTTTACTTATTGTTTACAATTATATGGACGAATTACGCGTACGTATATTCGTATTATATACTTTTTATAATTATCGGGGATCATGCCACGCGTACGTGTACACAATAAAATTGTCCATGTTATAGTTTTTATAAAAAATATATGTTCGAAATTTAAAATAAAATCAGGAACATCATCACCCTTTTTATTTAAATAATGAACTGCACACCTCGGGTTATATGAAATTATTTTAACATCCTTGGAAAAATCCTTTTCTTAAATATTCGCTCGAAATTGCGCGTACGCATAATCCGAATTTGCTTTTTAAAAAATAATCAGGGTACGCGAACGCATCCCTAATTGCGTAAAATTTTTGTAATAATATTATGGATTTTCCACAAAATTGTTTATTATATCTACACATTTTTTATATGAAATTCCTGTAAAATTCATATTTTAGGGGATGCCTTTAAATTCTTAAAAGAATTCACAATTTATTAAGTATTGCCCGTTGACTATAATTTCCGAGTATTAATTATGTTCATCCCAAGACTATTCAAATTCAAAGTAAAATAAGAACATGATTAATACTATTCTTCACAAATACAACATATACATATACCAAAGGATGAATGCCATATGAAACTCACAAAAATAATTTATGAAGGGAAGAAGTATTTTTGAACAATTTTTATTTATTTTAATTAGTGCAAATTCTACTTTTATTTACCATTGATATAAAGTGTTGCGATTTGTTCTTATACATATCACCTCATTCTCACATGCTTGTTTTTGATCCAGAATTATAATTGCTCAGTTTATTTATAACGATAAATAATCAAATTGATGAGAAAAGAGTTATTATTCAAATTGATTCAATTCGAATTGTATTACATACAACATAGTTGTACGCCTAAACATTCATAATATTCTTAACATCATGACGAGCTATACCAACTCACTTTACTCATATGATTATACCTGTCATCATACCATATAATAACTTATACCAATCTAAACAAAATCATATTTGTTACAAGATATACTACTAATGTAACTTCTTAATATTTCCATTCTACTTTACATTTAGCTAATGGTATTATGGGATGTAATCAATGGCCCATTTTTATGCCTTACTCCCTGTTTTGACAATTCACATATACCTATATCAATGAGATTTCGGAATGGATAACATTATTACAAAGCTTTACATGAATTTCAAATAAAGACAATTAACTCATAACTATCAAATTGAATTCACTACTAGTTAACTAACATGAAACAAAAAAATGAAGTTTAAACTAATGAACTTGAACAAATGAAAAATAGAATTTTGCAATTCAAGCTTCATTGATTTGTCATGCTGAAT